CGCGCATGCCTGGGGGCGGGGCCGGCCAGGCCAGAGCTTGGGCTCGTGCGCGGTGGAGGTGGGGCTGCCCGGGCTGGAGCCTGAGCGTCCGGTGGGCTAGGGACGGGGCCGTCCAGGCTGAGCGTGAGACTGCCACGTGGGCCTTCCCCTGACCACCCATCTGGGCGGCAGATTCGGAGCTGGCGCTCATGTACAACGATGAGTCGGTGCTCGAGAATCACCACCTGGCCGTGGGCTTCAAGCTGCTGCAGGAGGACAACTGCGACATCTTTCAGAACCTCAGCAAGCGCCAGCGGCAGAGCCTGCGCAAGATGGTCATCGACATGGTGGGCCCGGCAGGAACGGGGCCAGAGCGGGAAAGGAAGCCAATGAGTCTGGGATTTGGGGGGGGGGGGTCTGAGTCCAGAGGAACCCTCTGGAACCTGGAGGGAGGGGCTGTCTTCTGCAAGTGACAACTCCAGAGCCCGGGAATGGAACTAGTGGGCGGGCTTCCACGGCCCCTATGACGCCCCCTCGCCCGCAGGTGCTGGCTACTGACATGTCCAAGCACATGACCCTCCTGGCTGACCTGAAGACTATGGTGGAGACCAAGAAAGTGACCAGCTCGGGGGTTCTTCTGCTGGACAACTACTCCGACCGCATCCAGGTGATCCTCCCACCATCCAGGGAGACTGGGCCCTCTCTCCCCCCACCCTTTAGGTCTGTCTCCTAGTTGCCCATCTTCCTGTCTCTCTTTTTCTCCTCTGTCTCCTCCACCGTCTTCACTTTCCAGCCTCTTCTCCCTTTCCTGTCTCCGCCAGGTTCTCCCACCTCCCCCATTGCTCCTCTCCTTTGTTCATTAGCCTCTTTCATCTCCCCTTCCTCCACCCCCTCTCCCCTCCCCCATCTCTTCTGCCCTCCCCCCACCTGCCTTTCCCTTCTCTCCCCACCTCATCTCTCTTCCTCTCTCCCACACACTCCCCCACACCTCTGCTCTTCCTCCTTCTACCCACCTCTTCTCCCATTCCTGGCCCCCAGATAGGCAATAAGAAAACCTGGAAGCAGGGCATGAGGGTACAAGTCTTTAATTCAAGTACTCAGGAGGCCAAGGTAGGAGGATCACTTGAGGTCAGGAATTCAAGACCAGCCTGGACAACATAGCAAGACTCCTCCCCCTCATCTCTTTAAAAAAAAAAAAGAAAGTCAAGTCTGAGGCCCCAGACTGGGACAGAGGCCCAGCCCCCTGAGGGTCTCCCATTGCTCCGCCAGGTCCTCCGGAACATGGTGCACTGCGCAGACCTCAGCAACCCCACCAAGCCTCTTGAGTTGTACCGCCAGTGGACAGACCGTATCATGGCCGAGTTCTTCCAGCAGGGCGACCTTGAACGTGAGCGCAGCATGGAGATCAGCCCCATGTGTGACAAGCACACGGCCTCCGTGGAGAAGTCCCAGGTACAGGCTCGGGCAACGATGCATGGGGGACATGGCAGGCCTCCAGGCTCATCTCGGCCTGGAGCTCTGAGGCCCAGGAGAGCCTCCCCTGCCTCTGCACAATGGCAGGTTTTCCTTTGTTTTCTTTCCTTACTTTAAAATTTTAATTTTTTTTGGTTTTGTTTTCCTTCTTGCTTTTAAAATTTTAATTTTTTTTTTTTTTTTGAGATCGAGTCTCACTATATCACCCAGGCTGGAATGCAGTAGCGTGCTCACAACCACCACAGCCTCCACCTGCTGGGCTCAGGCAATCCTTCTGCCTCAGCCTTACGAGTGGCTGGAGCCACAGACATGCACCACCATACCCAGCTAATTTTTTTGATTTATTGTAGAGACGAGATCTCACCAAGTTGCCCAGGCTGATCTCAACCCCTGGGCTCAGGTAATCCTCTTGCCTCTGCCTCCCAAAGTGCTGGGGTTACAAATGTGAGCCACCTCACCCAGCTTAAAATGTTAATTTTTTTTTTTTTTTGAGTTGGAGTCTCACACTGTCGCCCAGACTGGAGTGTAGTGGCTGCTCCCGGCCACCGCAGCCTTGACCTGCTGGGCTCCGGCGATCCTTCTGCCTCAGCCTTCCAAGTAGCTGGAACTACAGGTGCGCGGTACCACGCCCGGCTAATTTTTTGATTTATTGTAGAGATGAGGTCTCACTAAGTTGTCCAGGCGGGTCTCGAACCCACGGGCTCAGGCAATCCACTCACCTCAGCCTCCCAAGGCGCAGGATTACAGGCTGAGCCACCGAGCCCAGTGTAAAATGTTAATTTAATTTAAATTTTTTGAGTAGGAGTCACTCTATTCCAGGCTGGAGTGCAGAGGCACAGTCATGGCCCACTGAATTCCTGGGCTCAGATGATCCTCCTGTGTAAGCCTCCCAAGTAGCTGAGAATACAGGTGCACCCCACCACTCCTGGCTAATTTTTAGGTTTCACTATGTTGCTCTGGCTGATATCAAGCAATCCTCCCACCTTGGACTCAAGCTTGCACTCAAGCAATCTTCCCACCTTAGCTTCCCAAAGTGTTTGGTTTATAAGCATAAACCACTGTGCCAGTCCTGATTTTTATTTTTGAGTTGGGGTCTCATTCTGTTACCCAGGCCAGAGTGCAGTAGTGCGATCATGGCTCATTGCAGCCTCAAGCTGCTGGTCTCAAACGATCCTCCTGCCTCAGCCTTGCTGGTAGCTTAGACGACAGGTGTGTGCCACCATGCCCAACTTTTCCTTTTCTATCTTGATGGGAAACGTGACATGTCCTCCTTCTTGGTATAAGGCTCTGAACCTCTGGACTCACCACCTATAGGCCTGCTGTCAGGCATTCTGAGTCATTTGCAGCGCCCACCATGGCGTCAATCATGATACTCACCTGGTTCCTACGTATAGCCCTGGTGTCAATTCAGCCACACAGTTCCCCTGTTACTGGCCACAAATTTTGTCTGATTTGCACTGGATTTTGAGATGATGTGGAACATCTTCCTCATGTGCTTGTTTAAGTTAATAACAGAGCCGGGCACAGTGGCTCACGCCTGTAATCCCAGCACTTTGGGAGGCAGAGGTGAAAGGATTACCTGAGTCCAGGGGTTCGAGACCAGCCTGAGCAACAAGGGGAGACCTCATCTCTACAATAAATCAAAAAATGAACTGGACATGGTGGCAAATGCCTGTGGTCCCAGCTACGTGGAAGGATCGCCTGAGCCCAGAAGGTGGAGGCTGTGGCGGCCGTGAGCGTGCCACTGAACTCCAGCCTTGGCAGCAGAATGAGACTCCAACTCAAAAAAAAAAAAAAGTTAATAACAGAGACCATAGCATGATTTTGTAAAAGACTCAGTGCTAACATGTGATATGAGACTTTCTTACCCTCCACACTTTGTGTCCTCCCTGGTGGAGCCTAGTCTTCTCCATTTGCTGTGTCTGCCCTTCCAGACCTGAGATTTTCAACCTTAGCACTGTTGACATTGGGGGTGGATCATTCCTTGTGGTGGAAGCTGCCTTGGGTGCTGTAGGATTTTTAGCAAGGACAATGGTCTCTACCCACTACATGCCAGGAGCAACCCCCTGCTCATTTGTTATGACCAGAAATGTCTTCAGGCTGGGTGCATAAGTTCACACCTGTAATCCTAGCACTTTGGGCGACTAAGGCAGGAGGATCACTTGAACCCAGAAGTTCAAGACCAGCCTGGGGAATGAGTGAGACCTCATCTCCACACAAAATTCAAAAAATTAGGTAGGTGTAGTGGTGCACACCTGTGGTCCCAGCTACTCAGGAGACTGAGGTTGGAGGATCACCTGAGCCCAGGAGTTTGAGGCTTCAGGGGACTGTAAGTGGGCCACTGCACTCTGGGCTGGGGACAGAGTGAGACCTTGTCTCTAAAAAAAAGTCTCAGCATTGCCAAATGTCCCATAGGGGGTGCAAAATCACTCATACGCCCTCCAAGGAAAAGTTTTATACATTTTATTACACAGTTAAGTTCACAGGCAGCTTAAATAGCAGTAGTTTGTGGATTTTTCTTTTTTAAACTTTTTTTTTTTTTTGAGTCAGAGTCTCACTTTGTCATCCAGGCTGGAGTGCAGTGACACCCTCATGGCCATCACACCTCGATCTGCTAGGCTCAGGCAATCCTGCCTCAGCCTTCCAAATAGCTGGAACTACAGGCATGCACCATCACGCCCAGCTAATTTTTTTATTTATTGTAGAGGCAAGGTCTCGCCAAGTTGCCCAGTCTAATCTCAAACCCCTGGGCTCAGGCAATTATCTCACCTCTGCCTCCCAAATACTGGCATTACAGGCGTGAGCCACCATGCCTGACTGTTTTTTTCCTTTTGTAAAAATTTTGTGTAGAGACAGGGTCTCACTATGTTGCCCCAGCTGGTTTTGAACTCCTGACCTCAAGTGATCCTCCTGCCTCAGCCTTCCAAAGTTTTAGGGTTTTTTTTTTGAGTTGGAGTCTCACTCTGTTGCCCAGACTAGAGTGCAGTGGCCGCTCCCGGCCACCGCAGCCTCACCTGCTTGGTCTCCGGTGATCCTTCCGCCTCAGCCTTCCGAGTAGCCAGAATTACAGGCATGAGCTACCACGCCCGGCTGATTTTTTTTATTTTATTTATTGTAGAGATGAGGTCTCGCTGCCCAGGCGGGTCTCGAACCCGTGGGCTCAGGCAATTCACTCACCTCAGCCTCCCAAAGGCG